GAGCTGGGGGAGGCCACGGCAATTTGCCAAAACTACCTTCCTTCCTAAAGAAAGGCTTGGGAGATAAAGGAGGAGGAGTAAAATGAAATAAAAGCAAACAAAACTAATGAGAAAGCATGGCTGGTGACTCAACCTTCTCTCCCTACCTTACATGAGAACTTTATTATCATTTGTGCAATTTAATCCTGGGATGATGATTCCCAAATGCCTGTCCAAGAGTCACCCATGAGGTCATAACAGCTTCTGGGGCAAGGCTGGAACAAATCATTTGTTCCTCTAACTGAATATTCTAGACTTTGACTTGCAGCCATGTTCCAGGGTGGAGGAGAGGTTCTTCCAATGACCTGCCCTGCTACCTGATTGTCTCCAGCTGGGTGGGCACAGATTGGGTGAAGATCTTCTGATGGAGATCAGCTCCTCCATCACTCAGTCACTTCCCTCAAGCCTCCACATGAGATTGGTCCTTTTAGTTCCACATTGTGTGAAATTTCTACTTTTGCATCCAGATTTACAGTGGATGGAACCTGGAGCCTTTCTATGTTCAGTGCCTTATAGGAACCTGGCCAGATTTGATCCCCACATGAGATGGAGAAAATCCAAAACGAATCCTATCAGAAACTTCTATGACAGACCCATAGAATTATCAAAGACAAGCCCATATACCAGCTATCCATGTAAACTGAACCAAAACCAGGAAGTTGACAGACTATCTGTACTACTGTCAGCTTAAATGTGAAATCTGGGAAGTCCAATTCCAAGTAATTTTGCCCCCTGAACAGCAGACTCCTACGCCATGCAATTTCTGGATTTCCAAGACTCCACCGTTTCAAAAATAGGTTGCCAAATGGCTTGATAGGGAGACAAGTGGCAGCTGTTGATCAAACAGTAGGAACCACAAGAAGGCTGGATAGGCATGAAGCTCTGGTTTTATTTCATTCTATATTTACTTTGCTTTTGCTGTGAGAATCCAACAAACAGTTTAGAATTCATAATGTGTCTGGTTGAAAGTCAACCTAATATATTTCATGGCTGAATACCCATTGAAACCCAGTACTCACCAGTCCAAATAATTCAAACTGAAAGCCCCTTGGTCCTTGTTTCCTCCCTTCCTAACTTTCTGCTCTATGAAACAGATCTGGTTATGTCTTTCTCCACACTGTGTATGTGGGTGTGTGCATTTTTAAATTGTAGACTGCCCAGACTCATTGGGAGTTGAGCAGCTTATATATTGCATGTATGTATGTATGTATGTATGTATGTATGTATGTATGTATGTATAAATTAATTCATACTAAACTCAATGATGAGAAGGGATTGGAACTTTGATTTCCCAAATTCAAGTCAAGTCTTTAGCTATTCAACTGCCATGTATTAACACAGAAGTCTACAATTTTGGGCAGGCACTAGGTAAGCTAAATCAGAAGAGGAAGAGGAACAACAACTTATTAAATTTATATGCCATCTGGCTCCCAATGACTCTGAGCAATTTACAAAGGTTAAAACATTTAAAAACAAAGTACAGTACAAAAAACACAAACACAGCACAAGACAAAAGAACAACGTTGGCAAAGAAAATAAACCCAGAGGGGAGCAGAAAGGAGCATCAATTGTCCTCTCCAAAGGCCTGGGTGAAGAGCCAGGTCTTTATGGCCCTTTGAAGTATCAGTAGGGTGGGAGACATTTGAATTTCGGGGGGGGGGCACCATCATTACCACCTCATGTCCCACCCTCCCAAGCACCAATCTTTGATGCAGCAACATTCCATCTTCTTCTCCAGCCCAACTGATTTTCCTTTTTCCAACTTTTCCTGGAGCAGGAAAGGCCACCAAGCGGGATATCAGGGCCGGTGGCTAGATTCCTCCAGATCAGTGTTTCTCAACCTTGGCAACTTTAAAAGGTCTGGACTTCAACTCCCAGAATTCCCCAGCCAGCATGCTGGCTGGGGAATTCTGGGAGTTGAAGTCCAGGCTTCTTAAAGTTGCTAAGGTTGAGAAACGCTGCTCCAGATGCTTGGGCTGCATAACTGCTAAACCATGTCACTCCTTCCTAACAACTGTGGAGGTGAAGATGTTATGGGATTCTACAAGAAGCTACCAAAAATAAGGCTGGCTCAACTTGCCTAACAGTAGAGCCACTCTTGCCATACAGGGCATGCCAAACTGGATTCCTGAGCTCAGTTACTATGTTAGCCTTCCCACCCTGGTAAATCTGCAGATTTGTGGATTTCAAATCCCAGAATTATTAACAACTGCCAGACTGGCTGGAAAATTCTGGCAGCTGAAGTGCACACACCTGAAGACACCCAGTTTAGGAGGGACTGGTGCCTAGAACATAGTAGCCCCTATTAAAAAGTACTGATCATTTGGCAATATGATATCTCTTTAATGCAGTCTTGCTCACTCACATAAATGGCTGATTACAGATTAACCTAAGCAGAGGACAGCTTTCTGCCCTGAGGAACTTACAACCTAAACTCAGATGAAGGAAGAACTACAGTAATCTTTGGTAAACCAGTTATAGATCTAGCAAGTGCAGCTATGTCAAGTTTTAAAATCAACTTCCTGGTGAAATTAGTAGTGAAAAAAGTGAAAGAGGAGGGATTTCATCTGAATTTTGAAAGAGGAAAGGGGAGAGGTTGCGCAAGGTTCAAGGAGATTCTGATCTAAAGTGCAGCAAGGGTGAAAGAATTAAGATCTCAGTGACTCATTATAATTTAAATATTGATATCCCGCCTCTTCTCAACAGAGCTCTAGGTGACTCATAACAGCTAAACACAATACTCTGAAGGACAAATATGGACAGGAGAGCAATGGCCCTTTCCCACGGCTACTCCATGGGATGCTGCCTGTGATCCTGAAAGGAGCAAGCAGCCATTGAGCACCCTGATCCTCTGTGAATTTAAAATCACCTCAATCCATGGCTATCACCCCTTCTGACAGCAGACAACTGCACTGTGTCAAAAAGTTCTTATCGATTCTGAATCTCCTCTTCAGTGGATGACCCCCAGTTCTAACATTTTGAGAGAGAAAAAAATCAATTCACATGTCTCCCTACCATCCATAATTTTAAATGCCCCTATCAGGATTCCCTTATTCCTCTTTGCACCAAGCTAAAAAGCCCCAGACTTCAGAGACTGTCCTTATGGGTGAGCCCCTCTGCCTCTCACTCCATTATTTTGGTGTTTCTTCATTTTTAGTGGTTTTTTCAGCTCTATAGTGTCCTTTTCAAGTGTGATGGTCAGAACTGTACAAAGTACCCCAAGTGTGATCTAATCACAGATAAAAATTATGTATTTTAAGCAAGTCACTGGGAGTTGGGTGGCGTATAAATTTTTATTATAATAATAACAATAACAATAACAAATCATCATCATCATCATCATCATCATCATCATCATCATCATCATCAAAAAACATCTGCCTATCCCAGGTCCTTGGGAAGGACTCG